AAACATATAATAAACTTCTTCACATTCATGCTTTCGATCCTGACCAGCTCAAGGTTGACTCAGCCTTCCATCCTTCCAAGATTGGTAAAATGAGGACCCAGATTGTTGGGGGCAATATGCTGACTCTGTAAACTACTTAGAGAGGATTGTAAAGCACCGTGAAGCGGTCTATAAGTCTAGGTGCTATTGCTATGGCTATTTTTTTTTCCTTGCAACTATGCATTTTTAAAAGCATCTGTAGTCGGATGCTGATTGTCGGAAAAAAATTAAGTAGAAGTTTCTAAAGCAATGGTATGTATGTGCGAGAAGATCACTGTGATTGTATTTAGTTCTGGATTACTCAGAAAAGGATGGCACAGAGGTATTAATTTGGATTTTTTTTTCATTCTGAGAAAAAAACAGTTAAATATACACTTGTCAAACTATTCCATATTTGAAACACTAAATTTAGTTCTTGTTACTGCTAGAATAATAAACTTTCAGATCTTATTTCCTGCTCCCCCCCAAAAGGAGGAGCTCAGGTTGCCATAGAGATTAGAGTTGTGTGCCATAGAGAGACAATGTAGATTAGAATACCAGGAAGGAAGAGTGAGTGATGTCACTAGTTCCCTCTATAGTACTGGGGCATTAATCAACAGTAGAGCAAATTCACATAATCATAGAGGAAATTGCAAATATTTCTGAAAAAGGGTTATGGTGTTATTATTGGTATAACAGAACAATACTATATGAATATTTTATTTTGTTTTTTTTCCTTCTGGAGGCTTATTCTTAGAATTTAAGTATTGCATCATACAGATCCACACACTTTTCAGAACTTAATTTCAGTAGTAGTTTACCAACTTCTGAAATAGATCCTAAAGCAGCATCACAAGAAGCTTTATCTCCTGGTGTTAAAATCTAGTTTGAGTATAGATAGTTGACCAATTTTCATCAACTAGTTCAGTGGTTCTCAACCTTTTTAATGCCGCGACCCCCAACCGGTCGTAAGTTGAGGACTACTCAACCGGTCGTTAAGTCGAGGACTACTCAACTGGTGCAGCACCGTTTGCAGAATGGGACTTTTGGCGGGCTCAGCCGGGCAGAGACAGCCTGGACAATTCCTATGGGCTTTTGAAAGCCAATAGAATTAGACTCTATTCAAGAGAGTCTCTTCTATTGGCTTTCAAAAGCCAATAGAATAAAAGGGAGTAGCACAGCTAAGGAAAAGGAGGGAAAAAATGGCGGACTGCGTTGTTTGGCAACCCCCGTGAAATGGTCGTTCGACCCCAAATGGAGTCCCGACCCACAGGTTGAGAACCACTGAACTAGTTACATGTATGTATGTATGTATGTATGTATGTATGTATGTATGTATGTATGATTAAATATGTTTAACAATTCTTAAATAGAATACATGGCTTGGCTTATATGCATTTCACAGGGAGTATTGGATTTTAATGTTTGGAATGGCTGCTGACAAACTCCTGTGCATTATTAAGGTTTCTGAGGCATGTTCTAGGAATACCTCTATGCAATAACAGTTTTTATCCATGCTATCTCCTTGGTGTTCCTTAACATGACCTGGGAACCAATTAAACTGGTTCCTTGGTGTTGTTCCTAGTCCTTACATATTTAAGGAGAAGTCAGTAAAGCTAGATACTGTCTGAGGAACATCTGTGCCTAATTGCATATTTTCAAAGAACTGAAAATGAAGTTTGGAAACTAGTTAACTAGTTTTTCTATTTATTATTTAACTTTATATGTGCTGTCATGCTGTGCATTAAAATCAGGAATATATGTGCATAGCAAATAAGATGTGTAGCTTCTTATCTGTGGGATATGTTGAATACAGTTTATTGTCCCTATTTTGTTTTCAGGAAATATTTTTTTCTCAGCTAGTCCATGCGGATTCAAAAATACATTCATATAAACATTCTATTGAAATTAGTGTATGGCAGAAAGATTGCATCCATACCCACGTGCAGATTTGGATTATGATTCTAGAGAAATCCTCCAGATATTTTCTTAAAAAACAACAACACTTCTTCATAGGAAACACACTTCTGGGTAACTGAAAAGTGTGTGAATATATACTTTTTAAGTACTATATAGAGTATAAATCTCATAGAAAAACTTTTGTGTGACTGATTTTATATACAATATAAAATTACATTTACATAGCAAATTGAAAATCCTCTTTTTTCCTTACTGTACAGGGGGATTCATATATTTTATATTATATGTATAGGAGGACAACATATATTCACAGGTATTCAATATACAGAGATAGTATTTAATAGTAAATTTACAATGAAATATCCAAGAAAATCTGTTTTTGTTACATTTTGAATTAATTGATCTGTAAATGGCTATTTGTATGCTTTTAATAATAAGACATTGACTGTAATGAGACAAAGGAATATTGAAATTAGGTGTAGTGTTGTCAGAAGCTTGAGAAGTTAAGGCTGGAGATCCATCTGTTCTTGGAAGAAGAAAAGACAAGTGAATGTTACTTTTTATGTACTGTAGATGCAGTACGTAATTATGTCCTGTTTAAATTCTTCCACTTTTTCTTTGGATCTCTTATTTCCTAACCACAGTTGTCTCTCTGAGCCGTGGTGGTGCAATGATTAGAATGCAGTACTGTAGGCTAACTTACTGCTCACTCCAGGAGTTTGATTCTGAGCGGCTCAAGATTGACTCAGCCTTCCAACCTTCCGAGGTTGGTAAAATGAGGAGCCAGATTTTTGGGGCAATATGCTGACTCTGTAAATTGCTTAGAGAGGGCTGTAAAGCCCTATGGAGTGGTATGTACCATATTTATCCATGTATAAGATGCTGTTTTTTCCTGCAAACACCTTGTTCAAAAATCAGGTGTGTCTTATACAAGTGCAGCGTCTTATACACGAAAAAATAATAGTAAACTCCGCAGCCCAGAGCATGCCTGTGCAGGTTCTTTACATGCTATTGCCATGCCGCCTGGTGCAGGTGTCGATCCCCTGTGGGCTTGTCACTAATGGGAGGGGGGGCAAGATCGTTGGATGTCAGCGTCTGGTGGCAGCGGATGGGACCAGCAGCATGGATGGCAGCAACAGCCCTTTCCCTCCCTCGTACCTGTATGCTGGCCGGGGACCCTGTGGAACGCAGCTGTGAGGCTGTTCTGTTTGATAATAGTGGCCGACCGAACTTCTGGATTTTCTGGCTCAGCTGTTTGACGTGGAGAAATGGCGGGGAGTTTAAAACCTGCCTTCGCTTCCCTTGCCTTGCTGTCATGCCAGTGCTCATGCCGGTTTGTTTACCAGGATTAGAAGGCTGCTGCTGTGAATTGACTATGCATGCTCATCGTGCTGGATGCTGGTTAGATGGGGGGGGGGGTCGGGAGACGTCTATTTAGAGCGCTGGGAGGTGGTTGCTCCCAGCGCTGACTTTATTTGCTGTAAACTTGGAACTCGCATGCCAGAGCGTCTTATACAAGGGTGTGTTTTATACACAAAAAATACGGTAAATCTAAGTGCTATTGCTATTGCTACTTTGTTTAAAAGATATTAGGCCTTTGTCCTAACTCTTAGTAACAATATTTCAGCTTGTGTCCTTGAGTTTTCCACAATAGCAATCTTTGCAGAGAATAATTATTCATAAGAGACACCAGCAAGTTGCTGACCTGTAAAATTAGTAGCACCAGTTACCTCTGGGGGAAATGCCAGGGCTGCCAGCAAGTTCTCTGCTCTACATAGAAAGTGATATTTAATTATTATTATGGTACAAAGATTGGGAACTATGAGAAAGACATCCATTTACAAAAAGGAAGTTTTAAAAAAAATTATATTGATACCTTCTTTCTGCTTTTAATTCTTCACATAAACATGCTCTATGTTTTGTCTTGCTTCTAGTCATTTCCTCATCAAGCAAATGTTTGAGCTGTCTAAAATGGATCATATTTACTTTGCTGCTTCAATATCCGGTGATTGCTTGTATTGTCAGTACATTCAGTGTAGATGTCACTGATCATCACATTGTGGTTTACCAAATAGGAATGTACTTGATCATAGAAATTTCCTTTGTATGCACAATTAGTCTTAAAATAAGTGGTGCCTCTGTGCTATTTTTGTTATTATTTTGTGCTAAGAAGTGATCTAGAGATAAATATGGGTATTCGAGAGATTAATGGAGACAACTTCTATAATACTGAGTAATTTATAATTATACCTATTTGTGTTTATATATTGCTATTTCACTTAGCAGATGCAGAGCAGCATAGTTTTATTTCTTGTTCTGCTATTAATGGAGCTACTGTGATAAAACTGTTACATTACAAAAGAAGAAGAAATAAACCTCTTATGTAAAAAATCTATCTGACATCGGATTCTATAATTAGCAATATGTGCGCTTATCACTGTTCACTTCCTGAAATAATTAGACAGCAGAAGTTGCCAAAATAAAAACCTTTCATTTTTAAAGAAGAGATTAGAAAAATACAATATAACCCCCCACACTGCTTTCTCTGTATGACTTTATACATGAAATGCAGCTGACAAGAATGCAGCATGCTTACAAAATCCTGTAGCTTAGATTAAATATTTAAACCTTCACATGACATGGTAATTTTTGTAAAATAATGTTTCAGGCAGTGGAACAAATTATGAAATTCTTGAATTAAATAAGGTAATGTATTATTTATGATAATTTCCTACTTACATTTTATAATTAATTTTTGTTGCTTTACCTTGGCAAAATGCCTTATTATTTGAATTTATTCTCTCCAATCGTGCAAGAATCCAGGTAGGCAATAACCATTCTTGCAGAATACTGTGTCACAGATATGAACGTGGAAAAGATGTTATCTAGAACCTTTATAACTAAATCAGGTGTCCTATAAATCAATTATATAATCATTTGTTCCTAGGAAAAGATGTTGGAATTTTATTTATCTCTTTTCATTTCATATTAGAATATTTTCAGTTATTCTGGATAGATATCCTTTTATTTTTTCACAAAGTATAATCTTTGCTTTATTTCAGAATGAGCCTCTGACTTCCAGTTATCATGGATACCCAGGAAGAGATAGTCAGGTAAAAATTATTTTATTATGTGGGTAATTATTAATATCATTATTATGTAATGGCTGTTGCTGTATTAATGTTTTATTGGGATTTGTAATTATCCTACTATTTGAGTTTTAGAACAACTGTCTCCCATATTGTGGAAAAAGAGAACAGCAGTCCATCTTCCTTTTGGTGGGTATTTGAATTACTATAACTGGAAGAGCTGTTGGAAGTAGACCATGGCAGACAGTGTCTCTGCAGAGCTTTGAGTGAGGGCAAAAGAGGAAGTCACATGCCAACATGATTGTGGTGACAGAGACTTAGAAAACCCAAGGCATGAATGAGGAAATGAGTAATTACTCTGTTGCTATAGCAAAGAGGATGTCATCTGTTCCACTTTACAGCCAATTTTGCAAAAAGGTAGAATAAATCAAGAAGCACAAAAAACTTCTAAAGAATATAGTAGGCAGGTGGCCAGCAAGCATTTCTGAGAGAGAAGAATGAGTTCTGTTACTTTTTTGGCCAAAGACTGGATGAACAACAGTTACTGGATCGAGGAAGAAGCTGACTATGTACACTGTTTCATAGTGGCAAAAATTCCAAGGGAGGTAGACCTAATTTTGGATGTTGTGCACAATATTGAAAACATAGCTCCTCTTACCAAACTTATGTTCGGAATTTTATGTTTCCCAAATGCTTATATTTTAATTGTAAAAGGAACGAAATAGAGGAGATGAAATCTAATGTTGAAAGAGATGTTCAATGTAAAGTATAAATTTGTAACATAAAGTATAATACTAATTGAATAAAATCATTTGCAGTTGATTTTTCTTACAAGATTAATATAGAAAGCAAATTAGTAACAGTTTTGATAGGCCAAATAATTGCAAAATGTTTTGTCAGTATAATCTATACTTTTCAGTGTGAACTTATCAAAAATAAGACAATTTATGTTTATTATGAGAAAACTTAGCTATAGCTCAGAAATGAACTCTAGTATGAAAAAGCTTTTGATTGACATTGTACAGGCCTGTTATCCTTGCTTCACCCATATAATCCAATGAACTGGGTATTAAACAATAAACATAAGCAGAAAAGCTGGATCGGGATGACAGCAGTAAGCTTAGTACACTATCTTCTCTAGTGATGCCCCATTCAGAGATTGAGGAGAAACGGATTGCAAGAAAGTAAGCTGTTTGCTGTTCTAGGCATCAAAAGTAGTGCATTCACACTGCACTGCTTTTATACATAGCCCAGGATTGGTGAACCATGGGTGCATTTACAATACTCTCTTGAAATCTTTTTAGTAAGCAATATTTGTAGGCAATCTCTCTTTTGCCTGACCATTCACAATTGCAAAGGAAGAGAGTAAGCTATTTGCCAAGCACACCTACGGTTCCCATCCCCAGGCTGCATCATAATTGCATTGCTTTTGATATATAAAAAACAGTCAGCAAACACTTGAGCATTCCAAGGGGTGAGAAAGTGGTTAGGAGGCAAACTAAAGCTGAACTGGTGAAACTGAGTAGTCTTGTCTTTTTCCAGCTGTGATTTCCAACTTAGTGACCTCTGTTTAGAAACCGACTTGCTGGTTCCAGTTAGGTTTATTAAGCAAGAACTATTTGTAGATTTGTTAAAAAATCTAATAATCATATGTATTGCAAATTATTGAAACAAGTCCCAAGTTTTGAATTACTGTATAATATAAACAGCTTTATGTTTAAGAACAAGGCTCATATTTGTTGACAGGATGGGCATTCTGAATCTGTTCCAGATTGGTTAAGAAAAAGGAAAATAACCAACGTGGCTAGGGTCTATAAAGAAATTTAATCATAACAAGATTTTAGGGATTGCATTATTCAATAAATATGGATTCTCAGTAATAGCCTTTACATTCCATCTACCAGTTTGATCTGTTTGATACAGAAATAGTTGCTACGCTTTCTCTTAATCTGATTTTTTTACTTTCATTAATAAGATTTCAAAGCTTTTAACTAATTTCATTGGGAACTCCTAATATGAGTAACTTCTCTGTAACCATAGCGGAGATCGATGGGACATGGGCAACTCTATATCTGGATGGAGTGTTCTGTTGCTAAACATAATTGATTAAAGCAAATTATACTTTTGAAAACAGCCAGTCTTTTCTGTTGTAGACGAACCATAGATATTTTAACAATAATTATATCTATCATCAAGATTTTCCCATGTCTTTTTGAACAAATAACAATTTTGAATCTTATGTAGCCTTATCTGATCTAGTGCAAGCTCATTTGAACTCTTTATAGGCAATATTAATCAGTATTTGCAAGGCTATTTAATTCATATTTAAATAGTTTAGATGGGTTTCTGTTTCTAAAAATGGCTATGAATAATTAATAGTGTATTCCCAATCTGTAGTATTTAAGTGTTACAAATGTTTTACAGAATTTGACTTTTTCAGATTTAATTTGTCAACCTGCCATATCCCAGCAATATGCTTCCTTCAGCCTAGTTTTTAATCCTTTTTAATCCATACCATTGAGAAAGCTGATATTTTCACATTATTTAAAATGCAACCTGGTATGACTTAGCCTACTTCAGTCAATTTTACTGTACTCTCATAAGAAATGCGTTGAGGTAGGCAAGATCAGGAAACAGCAAAGATATCAGAAATTTGTGTCATAGAATATAGTTACAGAATTTTGAAAGCTTTCCAAAATATTCCTCTGCCCTCTATCAAACCAAACAGACTCAAGGAAGAGTTATTTTGATTTATTTTCTGATGCCTTCTCATTTACCAGAGTAGTTGTTTACTTTCCCACAATGATTAGTGCATTCCTTCCTCCCTTAAGATTATCGCCATACTCCTCTCTACTTTCCTTAAATTTACTACTATTAAAGAATTGCAATACAGTTCTGGTCACATATACATGACCCGAAGAACATTCTTTTCTCTATAATTTTACACACTATAAAAATTAATTTGCAACGGGTATTTTTGAAAAAGTATTATAACATGTGAAATAGCAGTTCAAGTTTCAACTAGTTCTTCATGATTTATACAAATTAAGTGATTGCTTATGATATATTTATGATAGAAATTGGTCTTAAAGTCATTTTTGTAAGTGAATGCACATTATGCCTAAAGTCAATAAAACACTATTATCCTTGATTATAATCAATGATGTAATTAACTTAAGAAATCTAATAAAGTCTTAAAGTCCTCAGAATTCCCAGCTATCATGGCCGTTTCAACATTCTAGTCTACAGCTTCTAACATTAGGTTGGAGAAGGCTGTCTTCAGAGTTCTAAATTAGAAACAAGAAGTTTCTGCTCTTCCTGCCAGGCTGCCTGCCCGCCTGACTGCATCTTAAAAGAAAAGGTGTTCCAGGTCTGCCTTTGAATACATGGCAAATGGAACAGAGACAGAATGCTTCCTTGGCCCTTTTCCTGAAGCACTTTATGATTGTTGTTTGTTTATATGTGTTGCTTCTTCCCATGTAAGCTCTTCTGGGTGACTTTGCTTAAACTTTTGTTAACTAAGCACCCTCTAGTGGAGAAACGTCATGTTTCTATTACAAAATAAACATTTTTTTCCTCTTTCTGCATATATATATATATATATATATATATATATATATATATATATATATATATGTAGTGCATGACTTACTACCACAATTGAATCCAAAATTTCTCTTGCTGAGACTAAGTGAGTTTTGTCCCATCTTACGACCATTTTTGCCACAATTGCAAAGTGAATCATTGCAGTTGTTAAGTTACTACCGTGTTTCTCCAGCACTGGAGATGGATAATCCACCAATGGGTTAACTTAATCCTCCTGCCCAATCAGATCAAGTCAGCCAAACGTGCCACGCCTGTCCTGGGCCTGTTTTCCAGTTTCAACTTGATCTTGCCCAGAACAGACGTGCATGTTTGGCTCACAGGCAGGTAGATCTTAACCTATTAGTGGATTATCCATTAGTCTTCTAATAACTTTAATAACTTTCAACAACTTCTAGCCCTCTCAGTAGCATTGGGACCAGCGCTCCTCTAGAGGACTCTAACTTCATCTGATTCCCATTGGGATTCAGTTACAAACGGAGGCTTCCATTTTTCTCTTACCTTTCTAGCACAGTGCTGGGCTCAGCGCTGTTGCAAATTCCCCCCCCCCATTTCCCCCAGCTCACCTTCGGCATCAGAGTTTGTGGCTGCAGCTCCGACGGCCCTTACGGCGTTTGGATCAGCCTCCATGAGCTCCAAGGGCCTCGGCTTGCTAATTATCGCACCAGAGGCTTCCAGCGTTCCCGAAATGCCACCAATCAGCTGGGGAGGCCATTTCGCCCCGTCTCTTCTGAGTTGGGTGAGCATTAAAAGGTAGCCGTTTGGAACCAGAGGGGGTGAACGGAGTTGGGATGCGGCCGCCATTTTGTGGACCATGTGGTCATTCCCAGCCCTTGCCGGCTGCAAGGGGAAGCAGGGGGAGGTGGGGGGAAGGAATTTCTACCAGCTTCTGCATTCGTTAGCTCTCCATTAAGGGGCATCTCCCCTTCCTTGTATATCAGCCTGGGAATAAAAATTCATCTTCAATAGAAGGCACAGGCCTAGGCAGTAGCCCCATCGGTTACGGCTGCCATCTTGGAGGCTTCATCATCCTGCCAAGGCCGCCATTTTGGAGGGTCCTCATGCTCCAGCCCAAGGCCTACAGAGGCCTCTTTCGGATCTAGGCCCTTCCCGGGTTCCTTGTTTCCAAGGATTCTCTGGGATCCTTCTCCTGTCCTCCCTGGAAACTCCTTTTGTGGCATTTGTTCTTCCCTCTCTTATTCCTTGCATAGGCCCAATTAAATTAATTGGGCCCTCTGGTGTCCCCAGTCCTGGTCACCACCTGGCTAGCTGATTAACACAGTAGTTCCAGCCTCTGACTCTGTATTAGTTGCCATCCTTTTAAATTGCTGGCCTGGCAACACAGCAAGCCTCACTAGCAGGCCCCAATCCACCCTCTGGGGGGAACTTATAGTGACTGCAGGTAGGACCAGTCTTTTGGA